CCCACAGTATCAGGTTTGAACACCAGTCTGTCAAACTTAGAGGCTAACTCTTATTTCATTAAGGAATACAGCGTAGCTGTTAAAATGCTGTTTATGAGGGAAATCTTTGTACAATTTTGAAAGTGACTGATAGAATTATGGATTTGTCTTCTTTCATTTATGTTATTTCCTACACTGAGTACACATTAATTAGTGTTATGATTAGAAAAAAGAATCAATTCTTGAAAAATAAGTATAGACTGGGGAAAAGTGACTTGGGGGGGGATTTGATTTATCGTCCTTATACCTAGAGAAGTAATGGATATGAATCCACTGGTTAGATATGTATGTAGTTATATCTAACATTAAGAAATTGTGGGCCTTTATCTCTAATAGTTCTGTAGACGTGTGCATATAGTCCCCACAGTATTGGGTTTGAACACAAGTTTCAAAGACCGTTTTGAATGATTTGCTACAGATAACAGTTTTCATCATTTTGTTCCTTTTCTCTCTTCAAATTTTATTTATTTTCACTTTTTTAAAGATTTTATTTATTTGAGAGAGAGAGCACATACGCGTGAGCAGGGGGAGGAACAGAGGGAGGGGGACAAGCACACTCCGTGTTGAGCACTGGCTTACTCTTTAACCTGGAGATCATGACCTGAGCCAAAAATCAAGAGTCGGTCACTTAACTGACTGAGGCACCTAGGCACCCCTCTTGATATTTTAAAGAGACTGATATTTCAAATGGATAAAAGTGATTTCTGGAATGTTTATTTTATTTACTGTTCTATTTACTAGGAAATTGAGTAAAATATGTTCACTTTTCTCTTTCCCTCCAGATTAAATCTATTTAGCAGAGCAGTTGAAATGAACTGTTTAGGGAGATTCTGGATATATAATCTGTTTGATAAATTCTCCATTTTTGTTTTATTCCTTAAACCGAATTGTTTATTATCTGTGTAATTTATTCATGAAATTCCCCAAATACATACTGATCATCTACTGAGTGCCAGCCATCATTGTCAGCTTTTAGTTAATATAAGAACGAAAAAGACAAAATCTGGTACATATAGAGCTTATTATATAATTTGGGGGTGGGTGGGCAGGAAATAAACAGTGAACAAATGAACAAATAAATGTGTATAGCATTAGTTGATAAGTGATGGGAAAAGAACAAATAGCTAAATAAAGGGGGGCCAGGAGTTATAGGTGGTGGTAGGGAATGAGTTGCAATTTTCAATGAACTGATCAGGTTAGGCTTCACTGAGAAGTGACAGAAATCTGAGAAAAGACTTGGGAGAAGATCAAGTAATTAGCTATATGTGGAGAGAGTATTCTAGCCAAAGGAAACAGCCAGTGCAGAGATCTGACATTAGGAACATTCCTCCTGTGTGGGGAGGATGGGGGGAGATAAGAGTGGCTGGAGAAGACTGAGTAAAGGGTCTCAAGTAGCAAGTGAATTCAGAGAGGTGATGAGAGACAAGATTATGCATGGTCTTGGTAGGCTTGATGTTTAAGGAATTTGGTATTTATTCTGAATGAAATGAAGAACATTGTAGTTTTGAGCACAGGAGTGATGTTACAAGGTAACTGGTTAGGTTTCTTCTGAAATTCACTACAGTCTTATTAGCAGAGATGACATTTTAACTGGCCTTAGAGATTAGAGAGTAAGAAAGAATTTGCCAAGTGAAGGAAGATAGAAATTTGCTTTGGCAGGCTTAATTTAAGAATATTTCTCATCACCATACTTAGGAAAATAAATGTACTTTCAAACCAAGTTCTATATGCTACTTGATTTAAGGTTAAAAAAATTGTAATAATGTCTTATAAGGAACTCACTCCTTTGTGACCCCTTAGATCTGTTTAACCATGCTCATTTTAAAAATTGATGTTCTAGTTTAATAAAATTTAAGGAGTTTCTATAATCCAAGAGACACTTCCTTTTTATGAAAAAATCCAATTAGTCGTTTAACAGTTTCTTTAGAAAGTGAGTAATTGCCATTTGCCTTTCTGCCATAAAACTATAGATTAAATTGAACCATCTTGTGTATCTTATTAACTAAGATTCATTTATATACTTTTTAGTTTAAAAGGTTCTACACTCAGTTGGGGGAAAAATGAGTAAGACAGAATTTCTTTCCTTAGAGTATTTAAGATCTGGTAAGGGAGATAGACATTATGCAAAGGGTATAGTAAAAGAAAATATGAATTCTTCAATCAGAGTCCTAGAACATCCTCCTCTACCTTTGTAAAAATTCTTTACCTTTTTGGTCTGGTTGGGCCTACAAATTCAGCCTCCTCAGGTTAACTTCAACTATCAAACCATATTTACATTTCCTCTCTCCCTCTATCAAGTTTGTCCAGCAAGTTATTACCTGCAAATTCTACATTCTGTGTTCTGTAGATTATCTTTTTATCTCTGTAGATTATAACAGGTTTGTAATTTGTCTGAAGTCAAGGACTTGGGCTAGGATAGAGTCATGGTATAGATATTCAGTAGTTAATTGGTAGCAAAGCATAACAAAAGATAGTATAGAATTATAGTTTTAACTATAAATATATTTCAAATAATGTTTCTGGAAAGTTTTATTTGAAAAGCTGACTATAAAGTAGCTTTTTGAAAGGGATATTCTTTTTTTTTTTTTAGTTGACTCCCAAAATAAAAATAAAGATTTAAACCCAGTTTAGAAAGACTCAGAAAAAAAAAAGAAAAAAACTATGTTTAAGAGAGCAGCCAAGATGCCCTTCAAGAGATGAATGGATAAAGAAGATATGGTCCATATATACAATGGAATATTACTCAGCCATCAGAAAGGATGAATACCCAACTTTTACATCAACATGGATGGGACTGGAGGAGATTATGCTAAGTGAAATAAGTCAAGCAGAGAAAATCAATTATATGGTTTCACTTATTTGTGGAACATAAGGAATAGCATGGAGGACATTAGGAGAAGGAAGAGAAAAATGAAGGGGGGGAAATCGGAGTGGGAGACGAACCGTGAGAGACTATGGACTCTGACAAACAAACTGAGGGTTTTAGAGGGGAGGGGGGTGGGGGGATGGGTTAGCCCGGTGATGAATATTAAGGAGGGCACATACTGCATGGAGCAGTGGGTGTTATACGAAAACAATGAATCGTGGAACACTACATCAAAAACTAATGATGTAATGTATGGTGATTAACATAACATAATAAAATTAAATTAAAAAAAGCAGCAATATTTCTTTTTCTTTACTTATTTTTTGCTTAGAAAATACTTCATCAACTCCAGTTATTAAATGGTCTTTATAATGAATTTATATTTAAAAGTTTTGACATATATGCATGTACTTGATCATTAAAATAATAGTTTTGATATTACAGTTATTTCTAGTAATCATATTTTTATACCTGAACAGTATTAAATGTCTTAAATTTGTCATTTTGAGAATTTTGTAAATTTCTGATGGAATTAACTACATCTTGGTAACACTGTCAACATTTGTGTTATTTGTCATCACTTAATTTCTTACAGAATAGACAGGTGAGTCTGAAATATCATGGATCCTTAGTGTTTGGATAATAAGATCCTTAGTGTTTGGATAAGTTCTCCTTTGGCAAGACAGTTGATGTCTGTGGGTTTGTGTGATTCTTGCTCTGTATCAGTTTGGAACCAAAGCACCAGAGGATGTCTTTTACCAGGCTATTTCTGTGCATAAGGAAGAATGTATCAGGTCTGTTAGAAACTTAGGAAATCACTGCTACTGTGTAACCAGCTTAAGCCTAAATATGCTAATTTACAACTGTCAAAGCTTATCTCAGATATTCCCAGATGTTAAAAATAAATTGTAGTTTAGAATTTATGTGGTAACAGCAAAGAGGTATATTCTATTAGAATATAAAATAATTGATAAAAGAACATGTAAATATAATGTAATTATTCCTTGAAATGTAATGCAGAGTATTTTTCTACATTTCTCTTCACAAGTCCCCAGGATTTTTTTTTTTGCTTTTAAATACAATGTGAGCCAAAAACTTATTGTACATGAATAAAATAATAAATACTGAGATTTTTTATATTATGCCAAGATACTTGTATTTCATCAACTTTAGGACATAATTGCTGGGCTCTAAATCTAGATTAAATAGTATTTTGTATATATAAATTTTCTTTGGAACTAAATTCAAGTGAGAAGCTGCAGTGCTTACTATGCAAAGTAGATGGCAGTCACAGTCAGAAAAAAGCCTTATATAAAAGTAATTTTAAAAAGTATATTAAAAGGAATCTGTAAGTGAATAATGAGCCTGCAGATCAGTCAGCATATATTTATTGAGCACCTTCTTTGTCTGTAATTATCAGAATAGAAAATACGTACAGTGGTAATTCAGATAGAAGAGAACAATTTGGGCTGAAGTCAGCACACCAGGCTCTGGACAGAAGATAAATTTCAGTCATGTCTTGAAAGATGGTTAAAATGGATGAGTTGACAAGAGCTAATAGGTTCTAGAGAAGGAATCATTATACAGGTGTTTTGGGCAAGATCCCCAGTTTAATTACTTTTTAAAATAATGCAATGAATTATTCCTCTCACTTCATTTGTGGAGTTTTTTTAAAACATTATTTGGCATGTCAAATTTAGTGTTCAAGAATTGCTGGTTGAGGAAAAGTAGAAATTGCTGGATCCAGTTTTAACTGCTTTTGTCAGAAAATGTATCTCAAGGGGTCATTTTAAAGAAATAATATATAAAATGCTTTTGGTTTTTTTAGGAGTACTAGCCAAAGAGTAAAGAAGTCTAAATTTTAATCCTAGTTTCATGTTTTACTTACTTTGTGACTTTAGACAGTCATATAAACTGACTTTGCTTATGTGTAAAATTAATAGTGCCTAACTGAATTCTGGTAAAACTCAGAGCCATATACATTAGAAAGCATCTCTGTTTTTACCAACATTTGAGAAGTTGGAATATGTGAATTCTTAAAAGATGACAAAATTAATTTCTGAATTATACTCATTTCCCCCATTTCTCTTGGTAGCGGATACTTTGTTTTCACGGAAGCTGAATGGGAAATACAGGCTTGAACGACTTGTTCCAACGGCAGTATATCAGCACATGAAAATGCATAAACGAATTCTTGGACACTTGTCATCTGTGTACTGTGTAACTTTTGATCGAACTGGCAGACGGATATTTACTGTAAGTATATTTTGAAGTATTATCTTAATTCATATATGGCATTGAAGAAACATTGCTTATAGTTGAACTTTAAACAGTTTTTTTTTCTTCTAATGAAAAACTGGATATTCAGGTAATTCAGCTTACTATGATCAAAGATTTTATTTGAAGTTTGGAAAGTTCCTAAAGGACATGTATTATAGGCGCAGCTATATGATAGTGCTACATTATGGATAAGTGTAATTCCCAACATTATATCAAATATGCCATTTAACATTTTATAAAAATATCATATAATAATTTAAATTACATACCAGGGGCTCTGCGAAAGTGTGTGAAGCAAATTAGAGGAGATTGTATCTTTTTATATTATCCTTAGCACCTCATTCTTCAGTATATTTGATCCTGTGTTTAAAGAGGCTCTTTGGGCTTATTTGCTGTTGTTTCTTTTAACTTGTTAAATGGAAAAAAGCAGAGCTTTTCAGCTTTAACTGAGAAAATTACTTTTGGAAATATTTCTATTTATTTTTAGGTACATTAACTACTACATACACTAAGGGTGGTACTATACAGTTCTTGTACTTATATTACTACCCTGTGGGCTGAAGGTATGCATTCATTCACAAAGTCCTTAATTTTCTTTGAAGTAAGCCACTGGGAAATGGAAATTAAAATGGAAATTCCTATCTCTGTCTTTGGAGAGCAGCTGTAAATTTTACACGTTGGGTACAATTACAGATTCCTCCTTTAAGTAAATATGCTTGTAAACTGAGATTTATTTATATCTACTTCTCTACCCATGTACCCAGTCACCTATAAAATAGCTTAAACAGCAGGATGTGGGAAAGGATTTCCGTACATATCTTTTGGCTCTAATCCACTCAGGCATTTGCAGATCATTTCTTAGATTAGTATTCTCCTCTTTCACCTTCTCTTTTATCTCCATTGTTCTCTGTGAAGCAAAATAAAAGTGAAATTCTCTGATTGGTCATGATTTTCAGAGTAGAGAACAGATATCTCTGTATTTGCTAAAGTGCTTGATATATCTCTAACAGTAATTTGTTTTCAAATGGTAATGGAAAATTACATTTAGCTTTTTCAAGTTCAGTATACCAATATTTAAATTCAGTTCTCAAAACAAAGTAAATTTGGTATTTGTAATGTTTAAAAGAATCTTTCAAAAATAGTAATAAACTGAAATAACAAGAAAAAGGTATTACATTGTGTTTGTACTTCATTTTGGTGAGTATAAAGTTATGCCTTTGCATTGAGATTATAAAAATTTATAACTTACTTAATTTTTGATGTTAGTAAAGTATCTTGTGGGGATTCTTTCTTTAAAAATGATAGGATGGGGGCACCTGGGTGGCTCAGTCGTTAAGTGTCTGCTTTCAGCTCAGGTCATGATCCCAGGGTCCTGGGATCAAGCCCCACATTGGGCTCCCTGCTCAGCAGGAGTCTGCTTCTGCCTCTCCCACTCCCCCTGCTTATATGTTCCCTCTCTCGCTGTGTCTCTCTCTGTCAAATAAATAAAATCTTTAAAAAAAATAAAATAAAAATGATAGGATGGTAAGTATTTGTTTCTTGTACTTTATGAAGCATTACGTGTGTTTTGATTTGAATTAGATACATAATCTCCTAGAATTTTTTTTGAGGGAAAATGCAGTGAAATAATGTGCTGTTGCTATCTCCTGAGTTTAGGTAGAGTGGTAGGTAAGGAGTTGGAAGAGCAGCACTTTGAACCAGGGGATAGCAAAGTACTGTGGGTCAAAGCCAGCCTTCAGCCTGTTTTTGTAAATAAAATTTTATTCAAACAAAGGCATGCTTAGTTGTTTACGTATGTATTGCCTATGGTTGTTTTTGCGCTACCAAACGGCAGAGTTGCATAATTATGACAGAGACTGGTACATGTGAGTATTTATGACTGCAAAGTCTAAGATAATTACTGGCTCTGTACAGAAAAAAAATCTGCATGCAGTCCCTGTTCTAGACAGTTAATTCCTACTTTTAAGAATATTTGATTTGGGGCCACCTGGGTGGCTCGGTTGGGTGACTGCCTTCGGCTCAGGTCATGATCCTGGAGTCCCAGGATCGAGTCCCACATCGGGCTCCCTGCTCAGCGGGGAGTCTGCTTCTCCCTCTGATCCTACCCCCTCTCATGTGCTCTCTCTCTCTCTCTCATGCTCTCTCTCTCAAATAAATAAATAAAATCTTTTTAAAAAATATATTTGATTTGGGGAAAAGGAATGACATGTGAAGAAGAAGCTGTTTTCTGAATATTTTTCTTCAGTTGAAGACACATATTTAAAGGGAAGAAAATTATTTGCATATTATTTTTTATGGGTCTTACCAGAGTCTAAAATTGTTTAGGTTTTATGTATGCGATATTATTTTCTAATTGGGCCAAACTCATAGTCTTATTTGTAATTTTTTACTGCTGATTTGCAGTTGTAGATTCCAAAATGTTACCATGTGATAAGAAATGCATAGATATGAAAAGTAGTGTTATTTAAGATTTCCTTGTATTTTTATGGTTATTTCAAGTGGCAATAGGATACCTATGTGTTCACTGTTCATATTAACTTCATGAAGTGGGATGGCTGCTGGGTGTTCCTTCATTCCACTGGAAACACACTAGCCACTGACTAATGTTTTGAAAATCAGTCTTGAAAACTGATGGGATAAAACTTTAGGATAGTAGATCATGATTGACTAATGAGCGATTCCTGTGAGAGAGCACATTGTTGTTATTTATTGGAATAACAGTTCAGTAATAGATCAACTAGTTTTTCCTTCTTATGTATGTGGTATCTTAAGACCTTTCACATTCCTAACGTTCTTGTGTAGATGTATTTGCAAGTTTTTGTTCAAGGGACAGATTCTCTTGAGTCCTTTCTGAGTAGACATAGCTAGAGGCAGTATGGATAGCACTGTGTTTAAGAGCATCAGCTTTCTCATTAGGTGGCTCTTAGTTCAGCTCACAGCTTTATCACTTCCTAGCAGTGCAATTTGGACACATTACCTCACCACTTTAGTCTCCAGTTTTTTCATCTCTTAAGAGAGGGGGGGAAGGGAAATAATAATAGTACCAACCCCACAAGATTTTTGTATGACTACATGAATGAAATAATGCATGTAATTAGTATAGATCAAAATCTGCAGTAAGCAGTCACTAAGTTTTACCTCCTGCTGTAGATTATATAGATAGATTTAAATAAATTTTATCCATCTTGTTTCTTACTCAACTAAAATCTTATTTACAAATTCTATACAGGATCCAAAATGAAATCATTGTAATTGATAAGTGAAATTCTATATTAGGACAATTGACAAATATTTTGTACTAGAATATTTTAATGGATTTTTCCCAGTAGAATAATGAGAAGAATCCAGGGAGGAGATAGCATAATTACTGAGTCAGACTTGCTTCCTAGTTCTCTCTTAGTTTTTAAATTTTTTTTACTTGATTTTAGAATCATTGCCTCAAATAATATTTACCAAAGAAAAGCAGAGTTAATGAATTCTGTCAGGAGGAAGCCATTCACTCATAATAAAAAAAAAGTATATTGAGAGCCATATAAAAAGATCCCCCACCCTTTTTAAAAGATTTATTTATTTGAGAGTTAGTGAGTGGAGGGGAGGGGCAGAGGGAGAGAGAGAATTTCATGCAGACTCCCCACTGAGTGCAGAACCTGGCACAGATTTCAGTCCCACAATCCTGAGATCATGACCTGATCTTGAGATCATGACCCGAGTGGAAATCAAGAGTCAGACGCCCAACTGACTGAGCCACCCAGGCGCCACTGCCCCTTTACAGGGAAAAAAAAAATGTGTCTCTCTTTTCAAATTAAGGCAAAAGAACATAAAATATTTCCATAAATGCTCTAAGTTATAACTAGTCACTCTTCTAGACACTTAGGATCTAGAAATGAAAGACAAAGTATCTGTCCCTGGAGAGTTCACAGATTGTCAACAGACAGTATTGCTACAACTGATAAGAAGCTTGAATGAGGCTATATGAAATACTGAAGTATCATAGAAGTGTCTTAATTCAGTGTGTTGTAGGAGATGGTAAGGGAAACTTACTAGAACTGACACCTCAGCTGAGTTTAGCTGGATATTGCAGACTTAGGAAAAGGCATTTATAAACCTTGGAAGAATATAACATGCAGTTGTATATTATTAGATATGACAGAGAATAAATAAGGATAATCATTTAAGCAAGAGCTAGAGATATTAGTGGGGGACAAAATCATCAAGATCCTTTTGTTGATGTATGAAGGGGAGTGGGTTTCTTTCCTGAAGGCAATGGAGAGAAAATGACAAATTTAGACAGAACAGTGAGTATAATTTCTCTTTTTAACAATCCCTTTGGCATTATTGTTAAGGATGGGTTGAAACTAAGTCTATATATAGAGGAATTGGTGAAAAGGTTCTGTCAGTGATCCATGAAAGAAATCATCATGACTTGAACAGAGTCACAGTGAAAGTAGGGTTGGAATTAATAGATTAAAAATAGAATCTCTAGGATTTAAGATTTTCATTTGAATGTAGGGAAGAATTGAGAAAGAGTATGGGATCACATGTTTTTAAACTGTGTGACTGGTTAGAAAGCCTGTCATTTACTGTGGTGTAGGGATTTAAGGAGAGAAATTTGTTACAGCAGACGTCACGGCGGACATATTAAATTTGAGATTGTTATCTCTGTAGCCAAGTAGAAACATTCAAGAGGCATTGGAAGCCCAGGAAAAAATTAAGGCTAGAAGATTCAGCTTGGGAATCATGGAATATGGAAATTGTTATATTACCTCATATGTGGGTGACAGACTTTTAAAACAGGTGAAAGAAAAGGAGAGGAGTCAGTAATTGAGACTGAGCTGCTTAAGAGGCCAGAGAAAAATAAAAGAAATGGTGTCTTAAAAGACAAAGGATCAGTATTTTATAAAAGATGTAAACCTAAAGTAAATGAGAACTGAAAGGCATTTTTTGGACTTGTCAAGGCCATTAATGACATTGACAAA